TAAAATTTGCTTCGTATTGTTCCTTAATTTCTAGAGTAGTTAAATACTATTTTGCTTTTGACGCGATTGAATAGACTGATTATTACCGGTGAATAATATGTCTGACTTGCGCTCGACCAAGAGAATGCAATGAATAGGTTTTGAGTTAATGCCGCATTTTCATTGATGACAAATGCTGTGCACTCGAGATCGTTTTATTGGGTCACATATACGCGTGCAGCGAATTTCGTCACGAAATATGACCACAGTCGAAATGAATTTCATATATTCCACGCTCGCGTAGACGTAATGACGCGTTGCATATTCTTTAATGAATTTACGAATCCACCATTGCCCAGTTATTCGATGCTGCAACGCGCATCCGCGTATCCCTTTACATTATAATTATTTCGCCCGATATATTTTTCAAATTAATTTCACGCGTTGGTGAACTACTCGTGCGATTCGACAATCGATACGATGAAAATAAAATATTCTGATTTCAAATATAAAAAATTTGCAGGCAAAGAAATTCATAAATTTAACACACTACGAAACAATCAAAAGTTTCCTTTCCCTCTTTGGATTATAAGGCACCCCGTTCCACAGGGGTTGCGCCTCCTGCTTTAGAAAACGCTGATCCAGGCAAATCACAATCATATAATTTATCGAAACTGTAAATTTTTATGTGTACCAATATCACGGATTATGTTCGAGAATATTTCTCGACGTGAAAACTGTATTGAAAAATTGAATTTAGAGCGGGTGAATAACATTAGATTAAACCGCCACTAAATTCATCGCGAAGTCACGCGACTCGGTGTGTGGTTGCACCCTTTTCAAAATGTCATCCTTTTCTCTTCCACGCGGCATTCACAGAACCATTCGGTTCCATTGGGGAACACCATCGTTCGACTCGACGCGGATTTCAATCAAACGATCGCGAGACGCATAGATCATTCTATTAGCTCTGACGTGCGCTAGTTACCACCCCTTCGAATGTCGATCCATCTCTTCCCCACTACGAACCCTCCTATAACCACCAAGCAATAAACCACAATATAATATATCAGTGTCCTCGCCATACCGAAATAATCCACCGATTCCCTGGCATCCTACGATTCACGATTTATCATCAATCATTAATAATAAAAGGACCGCGAATTCTTTTTTTATTGCGTCGCTACTATTTCAATCGTTCGCTACGCGCGTCAAACTGTCGCCGAACAAATCGAAACACCGACCAGACAACGCGCGTATTAACGCCGATTGTAATTTTGTACGATTGCACATTTTATTGCAATCGCTTTGACTTCGATTAATTATTCGTTCGACCGAAGGTTCCGCACTTAATTAATCATCAAGCAATTAATTAATCGTTGTTTACGCGGGATCTCTGCAGTTCAGTGAATGGTTGCTCGACGTCTCGATAAAAAACAGTTGGAAATTTCAAACAACAATTGATAAGTTTTAAACCGACGACACGAAAAAATTCAACCAAAGTAAGCGGATTATTGATAAACCATTATCTTAAAAATATTATTGAACGCGAAGTTCGTTTAACTTAAAGTGCGCCGTTTCGGTTCGCCGATTTGCATAAACTACCACAATTTGTTCTGTACACATATTCAACAATTACAAAATAATGCAACGATGCAAATTGGTTACACGATACCTACTTATTGAAACGATATTATCAAAAGCCCCGTTGTATTTAAATACGTATTGTAAAGCACGTTCAATTTATTGCATTATTATTTATAAATTGGGAATGATATACATTTCCGGTTCATTTTCAGAACAATGTTTAATGTTTTATTCAACGCGGCGTTTCGGTCAAGTTTAAAGAACCATTTCACAAGCAATTGCAAACCATTCGACTATCCAATTTCGATCGATAATTATAATCTTTGACATCGAAACATCGACTGGAGACCCAGAAATAAGAGTCGTTAATAATTTTTAATTTATATACCGGGAATCAGTGTTACTAAATTATTAATCGTCGTGTTCGTTTACTACGCTTCGTGGACTGAAACGCGCGAAGAAATTAGGCCATCGCGTCTCCGTATTTTACGCGGGAATTGAGTTCACGTTATGGCATCGCGGCGTGACGCGACGCGCGTCCGCGCGTGCTCCGTTTTAATCGAATTTATTGAAACGCGCCTTAAATTCTTCTCCTTTCAGCCGTCCATCTGACTGTCCAGGTGACAGACAACGACCGCGATAACTCCGGTGTCCCTGATAACTCACCGCTGAAAGAGTGGTCCACCGGGAAGCGTGGCAAAGATACGCGCTAGCAAGAACCAAAGTCACGGGAGGGACAGCGGAAAATGATGAGTTACGGCTACCGATCTGCTATCGATCGAACGACGTATTCGCTGAATACGAAATTTTACCCGGCTGATCTCGATAAATCACTCTTCTTCCATCTTTCTCCGTTCCGAGCCTCGGCTTCTTGCATTTTTCTTGCCTTTTCTAGCCGCGACCCTCGGCCCCTCTGTTCATCTTTTTGCCTCTTCATTCCCAAGAAAGTTGAAACGAGAACGGGAAAAAGGGAGAGATAGATCGATAGGGCGAAGTCACCCCCCCGTTGGTACGATCGCTTTCACGAATCCGATGAAAAACGTTTAAGCCGCGATTAGATTGAACCCACCGGCGAAATTAATGCGTTTTGCTCAGACGTTTTTACCCGATGCTTAAAGTCGACTTAAATTTACAACCACAGAGATATCGCCCGCCAACGCGACCAGCGAAACGCCAATTTATCGCTCCATCTTAAACAAAATTCCCGCGTTTAACCCTCGGATGACGCGTTGAGAAAATAATCTACGTTTCACAACATAGATATTAAAATATTCACATAAACTGATATTTTAAACTATTTTTATTTTCGTGATCCTTGTTACTAGGAATAAACAGTTTCTATCGTATTTTCTATCTTATTCCCGAAATAGAATGTTAACATAAACACGAACGGACTGACTATCCCTTACGCGGAAGTTGCTGGAGCTTATAAGATTTTTCGAAGCGAAAACAAGGTCGATACGAGACAACGAAATTTCGAAAATTGCAGGGGAAAATCGAGTCACACCGATAGTGCTTACTTCGTAGAATTTAATTAGGTGCACAAACTAGTTTCCTAAATAAAAAGCCTTGCTACGCGTTCCACGTAATGAACTTTCAAATGCATCGATTTCGATCGTCGATTGAACGAGTATTCGAGAAGACGTTGAATGGCATCAAAGCAGTTTCTAGCTGAATACTTCTGAAACGAAGTAAACGAAATCTTTGGAGGGAATAGATTAAATATTATAAGAATCTTAGATATCGTTCACAACCGTTTATTTCGACCGTAGTCGAACAGTCACGCGAAAAGGTGGATAGGTATTTCTGCACATTCAAGGTTTAACCACGTCAAAGGTATCGGATCCAACTTGATCCTCTCCAAAATTCTCTGGAGCTTCATTGGAGAATCACAGTAGGATCGTGTTTCACGGTGTCGGATACAGGCCATAAACAAACGCTTTCGTAAGCCTGTTTCAACCTGGCAGAGGACGCCCGCTGAAATACTATGCCAGATCCGCTGATTTCCGGGCAGACCGCCAGGAAAATTCGCACAACAAGCGGGAAATTAATTTTTTAACCGAGAGTTACCCACAGTATTAAATCGTCGGACACCATTTGCTCCAAATTATAATCTTAAAAGCCATTGTTACAACGAGCTACTACATAAATAATATCGCTAAAATGGCTTCTTAAAATAATTAACATTTTATTCCAACGAACCACTCTGAATTCCGAGCAAAATAATACGTGAATCCGTGCCCTTTTTTTCGCTATGCTCTTTAACTTTTTACGTTCCACTGTTCGTCGTAATTGTAAATCCATACGTTGTAAAATAGTAACGTTAGTATAAAGCAGCAGTTTTATTAAAGTACAGGGGCGAAAAAAGAAATTTTTTCCAATACAGTTTTCCAATACTACGGTCTTTCCCATTCCGGACTTTATACCAGCGGTGTTTCTACCAGAGATGCACATAATCTATACACAGACACATCTATGACCGGTCAGATACACTAGCGCCGATGTTGACAGGTTATTGGCAGTTCAAGGGCTGAAAATGCCCGACCGGCAGTATCGGTCCCCATTTTCCAGCTTTACGATGACGGCCATTGTTATTGGCATAGCAGCCCCACCATTGGAAAATTGTTAATGATCGGGAGGGAGCGAGTTAAAAGTGCCAAGTCTACTATCGAATCCAGCTTAATCACTCTATCCGACCGTACTTCTCGACGAATCAAGATTCAACATTTTTCTAATACTTTCGATCGTAGAGATCGAGAATGTGATCGAGAATGTGAAACCCGATGGAGCAGCAGTATATTAATTTGTAAGTTTCCAACGTTCCTATCATCTTTCATACTCTCATCGAATACTAATATTCCGTGGCAATCCTAAGCATCATAAATTTCTACAAGCGTCTAAACCCTTTCGAATCGATCTGACAACTTTCCTTGATAAATGTGTTTTGCTCCGCAGAATTGTTACGTGGAATCGAAGCGAGACGAATTTCTCATTTTCTTCGCGGCTGTGCAACCGGAGCTACTTTTTCCAAACTGTTTGCATTTTTCCATTGAACCGATTTAATTTGTTATTTCCGACTGAAATTATTTGCTACGTTTCTTTCAAACAAATATTTTTCAATACCGGCGTATAAAATATTTGTTGTATTCGTATTTGCTCAATTGTCGGACACATGTGTATTCTTTTTTTATGTTTTCCATAGCTCTCGCTAGTCCATAGAAATATGTGACACTCGTATCTGTCGATATGCTTTTGTTTACAACGCTGTTGCACATCAAAAAATACGTCTGTTCTACACAGCAATTTTATGCTATTATACTTGTGGATTCGTCTTCGATTATTAAATTTCTTGATCTTAAATATTAAAAATATGCTATAATTGGAGAAATATTGATTATTATTCAATTTAAGAGACAAGAAAGGTTCGTTTATACCTTCTACGATGATGACGACGATGACGTCGTTTCGATATGTTTTCCGTGCTGCTTTCCGGTTGAACTGTGAACACTTCCTCAAAGCTCTTCATGTTCCCACCTTTCATTTGATTGGTGTTTTCGGTGGAGGTGGGAGACGTATTCGACTCGTGGGATGTTTTCGACAATTTTGTTGCGTTTACATTTGTACGGGAGGATTGACGACTTTGCTTCCGGCCAGAATGTCTCTTCTTCGTCGGTGGAGTCGTTGACTCCAATCTAAGGGTTGGAAAATATTTCTGACTTTTCTCCACATTTATACCATAACATTTTCCATATTATACTACTATATAAGATGAAATTTCTAAGTATCTGAGTACTGTATTATGATTCATAATGGAAATTGAGACCTGCAAAACAGAGCCGTTGAAAATCGATTAAAAGAATCTTGTAATACGTTTAAGTAGAAATTTTAATGACACCGTTGGTGCTGACAGGCAATTTCGATACTACGAACAAGATGTCGCCAACAATATCACGTCTGCCGCGCCTTTCACTTAAATAACAATTTATCCGTTCCAAAAAGATTCTTTTTTTAAATCTAATGCTTGGAGCATCAGACTGAAGGGGTTGAAAGATCGCAGGACAATTTAAAGCCCGGACAAAACGACGTACGATAAATAATTGCTTGGTAATCGTTCGAAAAAAAAAGAAAAATCATCCGCGAAAGCGACGACCTAGAAGTCGCGGGACGCTTCAGAAAACTTTCCTTCGTTCGCTAGGCGAGAACCGGCGTTATTTTTGCCGTTTTAATTGCTCTCGCGGGTGTTTCCTTTTTGAAATTCGCCAGTGGATGCGTCGTCGCGCGGAATATCTCTTCAAGGAGCGAAATCTCTCGGGCTCGCGTCGTCGGTGAAACGCGTGCACGTTAATTTTCCCGCATAAAAGTTTTCGAGTTCGCTTCTACCTGAATTCAACGCCCTCGTCCCTGACGTCTGGTCCGGCGTCGTCGTTCCTAGCGTTAAAACTGAATCCACCCCCGAGTTCGCCGTCCATGCTGTATTGATTCCGGTCCACCATAATTGGTTCGGATTTCTCTTGAGAAGCAGCGATCTCCTCGTTCTCCTGATGTGCCTCGTTAGCGTCGTGCTCATTTTTAAATTGAAGGATCTCTGAAACGACACCTGTCGCTAGCACGCCAACGGACACGCTTTTCGCCACCGTTGGAAAAGCTTAACGCGTAAAAACCCGGTGGAAAAAGTTTTTTACCTGTGAGACCCTCCTCTTCGACCTGGAGACCCTCTTTCAAGACTTCGTCCCGGTACTTCTCCAGCTCCTCGAGGTAACTCTTGTTGAGCTTTTGCTGTCGCCATTCTGTCTCGTACTTGATATTCGGCAGGGCAATGTCGCCGAGAAAACCACCTGAAAGTACACAATATTAAAAAACTTCGGTGAGGTCATTCTTCCGTTCTCGCATTGTTATATTCAGTGCTCTTGCCACTGACTTCTGACAAGTTTCAGTAGCGAGTAAACGCGATGAAGGAGCGTGGAAAACTTTTTAATAGAACGGTGGTTCTGATGGCCATTGTTCCCTGACGGTAACGTGCCGTGTCCTTCGAATTACAGTCTTCGTTTTACTTCTACCTTTTTATATACAGTACAACTTGGTTGTGACCGGAGTACGCGAGAAAGATTTAACAAACAAATCGCTTCTCGTTCCATTTCGATGGAAGAATAATGTGCCCGTCCGAAAATAGTAACTTTAATGTTCCCAACAATAAGTACCACTGACGGAGAATGGGTTCCCGATACTCGTATTATAAAGAATCTTTATTGCGAAAGGATCCCGTTAATTCTTGACCCAAACCTGTGGTCCCGTATATAACAATGACAAGTATATCCTTTGGGATGGTATTATACGACCAGGTTTAAAGTATTTTATAAAGACTTGTCAGTAAAGAAGACAAATAGAGATACAGAGGTTTCGTTGCACGTACACTGATTTCTCGTTAATGTCTCGCATGTAGCTCTTTTCTTAATCATTGTACTTAATTTTAAAACTTCGTTTTTCAAGTTTTTCAAGAGATACAGTTAGTTTAATGCTTGATTTAATGATCAGGTTAGTAACGTTCGCGAATATCGAGCGAAAGAGTGACGAACGTTGGCGAGGGACGTACTGTGTGTGCCATTGGCGATTCAGACTTTCCCCGATTGGTGTCCAGATGTCTTCTTATTGATACCAATAACCGGATAACGCATTTCCGAGCAACGCGCCGCGTTAACGGACCCACGGCTATCGTAAATCATAAATCACGAGACCGTGTTATCGGGTGAAGGAGAGAGTTTGTTCGGGCCAACAGTTGTTGTGACCGATGTAAACAGCTTGGCTGTTATCGCCTGTCGAACCGGCAACGAAGAGGAGAGACATGACGTGAAAAGGGAAACGGCGGGGTGGAGAAAGATGGAACAAAACGAAGAGAGATAGGGCAGAAAGAGCCGGACAGGACTTTCTCAAAAGTCTGATAATCGGATTAAGGACACGAGCCGTGGCTCTCTGTCGCTTTGACCCGCTTTTCCGGGCGCGTAAAGGGAAAAAGATCTCGTTACAACGGGGACAAAGACCGACTCGTTAGAGAGGAGCAACGACAAGGAGCGAGCATCGGAGGAGAAAAAGCGATTATCCAATTCCGTGTCGACCACCCGTTCGATTTCTTAGCGGCAGGGTTAGGTGGAGGAGATAATTAGATCGTCGAAGCGACAGGGAGGCTCGTCGACGGTGCTCTTCCCGATGTTGATTCATTCGAGACCAACGGATCTGTTTCGCGGAGGGCAGTTCACCTTAACGCGAGACTACAAGTAAATAAGGGAACACGGTAGGCTTTGCACAGGGCGTTTCATAAAACGCGGTCAGAGCGTTCGAACTTGGCTCCGAAAACACTTGTTACAGTACAGTTTCCATCATTCGGAGTGCCAGATTAACTGACACGTATCACGAATTAGATTTCGCGCGAACAAAGAGAGCTTTCAGTGAAATTTGATTACATGAATTTTAACGGTAGATATAAATTTATGAAACTCCAAACAATTTGAAGCGAAGAATATTTTTCATATATGAAGGAAACGATTCAGGACCAAGGTGGTTAAACTAATAATTTCTAATCTATTAGTGCTGATAAATGAGCAATAACGATATCGACGTATAGAGAATCTATGTTGTATTCTTGTCGTTTATCTCTAATAGTTTCGAAGCTATAGTCGCGTGCGAGAGCACTCCGTAGATCTAACTCCGATGTGATCATTTCAGAAATTGCAGGACAATGCATGGTCAGTCCGTGCAACGCACAAACAGCATTCAATGATATGGTGCATTGATGCATACGTGACTGCTAATGGGATCTATTCGTGCATCTACTAGGAAGCAATACAATAACTCGAAGCGTCTGAATTTCAGAAATCATAGGTTTGCAAATTCCCATCGGAATTGCCCTTGTTCGATCAAACAAATCAAGAAATAATTGTTATTTGATCAAGAGAGACTCAAGAGCATGAAATATCATAATGTAATTTTAATTTAATATTGAAAAAATATAAATACGTAAGTTTTCGCCTAACCGCTCGATGCGCGCGATTTCACGATCGTGTGATATTGCAGCACTCTGTACATCGTGCGATTTTGTCTTTTTTTTCTAGCCTTTGACCTTTCAGAGATTGAACATTTCGCGCGTTATCGTTGACGAAACACTATCGCGGTCGAGCTTATCGTTATTTTCATAGCGGAAGACCATTGTAAAAATTCAAAGTTAGTAGTTTATGTCGCGCGCTAGCTATATGCATCCCTTCTGCGTAATAATTTCATCTCCCAGCGTCGAGGTCACGATCTCCGATCTATTTGCCTTTCTCTCGATCTTTTCTACCAACGCATCCATAGATCCATAAGTGCACGAAACTATTTCTTGCGTGGAACGAACCTCCAGACACTCCTTAAAATAATAATAACCGACGATGCAACCAGATATACGTATTTTGTTAAATTAATTCCAGTTTTGACGTTTCGAGAAACGTGTGTATGTGTCTTGAAGAACATATCGTTTTTACCAAAGAGCAAAACATCGCTGCGTTTTTTTCCCCCGGTAACTTTAAAGCGACTCGACTGGGCTGAGTTCGAAACCAGCGAAATGTTCAGCGATCGTTCCGCGAAATCGCTTGCATATTCAGGAATCTCCTCGCGGAATTGCTCGCGAATTCCTTTTGCTCCGTCATCGAACGTTCCGGCATTAGCAGAAGTTCTCGTCGCTAGTGTTCGATGACACTCGACGACGATTTGTGTCAATGACGCCGTTATTACTGCGATCCGAGAGACTTCGTTCTCATTCACAAATTCGGTGTGTCGGTGTAACGATCGCGGTGGACAACTTTTATAGCGGACGTCTTTAAGCTTCTTCTTTAAAACCCTGCACACGAGACACTCCTCTTTCCTATTTTGTCTAATTTGTACAAATTTTTTAACGTAGCAGAATTTGCAATGTTTTCTAAAGAAAAATCACGATCCAACCTAAGAAAATGTATTTTAATACGTTGACTGGAGCTAAAAAAATTAATTTTCAAGATTTTAAATTGCCAGTAAGTTTTTTCGTGGACAATTTGAAAGGTTTGTTCTGACCAAAGATCTCCAAACACATTACTACGCAAACAACTTCTGTTTATACCATAAAGTTTAATCCTTATTACAAGGATATCCGTTGGAAAATGGTTAAAATGTGCGGGGACCATACGTGACGCTAATCGTAAGCAATATTTACCATACGGTTACCAAAACACGTATTATGTATCCAAGTCGTAATATATTCAACCTACATCGTGTATCTCAAACAAGTACATTGTTTGAGCAGCTGTAGTTCTCTACGACATATTGTGATACAAAATCACCTGCAGCGAGGATATCGAAATACTGTTTGGAGGATAAAGATCGATATCAACGACTGTTAGACAGGGTAATAAGTTATAAGAGAAATATAAAACGCTGAATCGTCCAACTTCAAAACACTTGTTCCTCGTTCCTTGTTTTTAAATTATATTACTATACGAGTAGACGGTAATGAACGTGGTCCAAACAATGAGTTGGATCGCGATCGATCGGGTGTATTGAAAAATCGTCGTTACCCGTGACGTGAAAGAATGAACCGAGGCGTGTGTTCATGAGTCGTTGCTCGATCGCTATAACCAGTATTTATGGGTCATTCCGAATTCATCGTCGCGAATTCAACGATTGCGACCTCGTTAACAGAACGGTGAGATATCGACGTCGAGGCAGCCCGGTGGACAGGATCGTGTTCGGTAATTTCCACATCGACAAATTATTCGACACTGTTAATGGGACACGCGCCAACATTACAACCAGTGTCGGGGACGATCGGATGTGCGGTCCAGAAGTGGATTAATTAAAGGAAATCGATCGAGGTTATCGATAAGATATGGTCCAACCGCGGCGCGGACTTTTCGTTTTACCGGAAGCTTTTTTTTGCTCGACGATTCTTGTGCTTGCTTTTTCGAGATTCTGCTTTTTCCACGCAACGATATTAACAGCAATATTTACTACTACGGTAGACAATGCTTGTCTGATAATATTATTTTATATACAAAGTGTTATAAACTATTTCAGGATACTATGCTCTTTTTTTTTTTTTTTTTTTTTGCCAAATGCTTGCCTTGTCTATCAATTGTACAAGCAAAAAAGTTTCCATGCAGACATAACTTCATTGAAACGGAACTTTGTTTTCTAATAATTTTTCGACACAATGTTTAATTCCAGTATTTATCTTGCGTTTTGACGGACGATCGATTCGTAAATACGCGCGTTTTCAATGCTCGGTCCAGGTGTTTTGAATTTCCATCGTATTTTTTTTTTTATTTTGCGGTGGAATTATTTTTTCACCCGCCTCGTCCCAATGTTGGCTTACGTTCAATTGCACGATGTACGGGATTTTGTATTGACCTAGATATTACCTACGATCAATGTATTTACCGAGCTGCATAAACCTTATGTTATGTAACATATCACGTGCCAACTATAGACACGTTCAAATTCTCCTTTTCTCTAAACTATCGTTCTTTTTATATTCTATCGAATGAAGTAGTCTCACAAAATATTAAATACACATCGTATGCATGTTTATAAAATTCAGCGTCTTTAAAGCGATCCTGTTATCCTTATTTCCCCGAATTTCCTCAACGATAAGGTTCGCGATAAATTACCAGGAATTTTTGCGATCGTTGGAATGAAATGCCCCGGGCATTGTCGCATTCAGACGCTTGAAACGGTTAATTAATTAGGCGTGGGCACGCACGGGACAGTGGGTCCGTTGAACGGGGTCGAAATCGGCAAATTCACGACGATATACTCGTAAATACGTCCTCCTGACAAC